AGCAGAGATTGCCCAATTTTGGGCGTTACAACAGCCATTGGCTGACGAGCTTGGTTTTGCTCCCGGGGTGAGCGGTGTTGTCATTAATGGCAGAGCAGTTGGACCTATACCGGGTGATTATACGGTGGTGCCGGATGATTTTGATCAGCTTTTGATATATGAGCACACAAAGCGCATAGATCCTGTTGCGGAAGCCGTCAAGGAACTAGCGATTGGCTCAAAACTTTCTGGACCTTTGGCTTTTGCTAAACTTACTTCTCTGGCTACTCTCTCGACTATATCTGATGTCCCGGAGGGTATTTTTGAATCGACTTCGGACGTCCGAATGAACCTGTTCGATAAGTGGAACGATTCTCACTCGGTGGTAACCGTCTCCAATTCTGAAGATGCGGCAATCACGATAGTCGCTTCTATTGACCCGACGTCTGAAGTGGCCCAAAGATGGCTACCAATCTTGAAGGTACTTTCAGAGTTGGCAAGTGTCAGGCTTAGACTCTTCTTGAACGCCCGGGAAGAAATACAGGAGCTTCCAATTAAGCGCTTCTACCGCTATGTCTTGGATCCGGAACCCTCTTTTTCCAGTGATGGTGCTGTATTAAGACCTGGTGCCTCTTTCTCAGGTGTGCCAGTTGAGGCCTTGCTTACCTTGGGCATGGATGTCCCATCGTCTTGGCTTGTAGCACCCAAGGACTCCGTTCACGATCTCGATAACATCAAGTTGAGTTCTTTGAAGGCGGGATCTGATGTTGATGCTATCTATGCATTAGAGCACATCTTGATAGAAGGCCACTCGCGGGACTTGACTACAAAGACTCCACCAAGGGGAGTTCAGCTAGCTCTTGGTACCCAGGAGAACCCGTACTTTGCTGACACTATCATCATGGCTAACTTAGGCTACTTCCAATTCAAAGCTCAACCAGGATTGTGGCAGGTAAATCTGAAACCGGGTCGCAGCGAACAGATCTTCAAGCTCGACAGCGTTGGTGGCATGGGTTACGCTCCACAACCCGGTGATGAGAATAATGAAGTAGCACTCCTTTCCTTTCAGGGTAAAACCCTTTTCCCTCGCTTGTCGCGAAAGAAGGGTCATGAGTCCGAAGATGTATTGGACACAAACCCTAAGCCTGGATCTGCCATGGAATACGTGTCTAAGGGGCTCAATTTTGCCTCGGGCATCCTGTCGAGCGTTGGAGCCGGCTCCAAGCTTAGCACCGCCGAAAAACAAGCCGAGATCAACATCTTTTCAGTGGCAAGCGGCCATCTATACGAACGAATGCTGAATATCATGATGGTATCAGTGATGCGGAATACCAAGCATTCCGTCAAGTTCTGGTTCATCGAACAATTCCTCTCGCCCTCCTTCAAGTCTTTCCTCCCCCACCTAGCCAAAGAATACGGCTTCTCCTACGAAATGGTTACCTTTAAATGGCCACACTGGCTCCGCGCCCAGCGCGAAAAACAGCGCGAGATCTGGGGCTATAAAATCCTCTTCCTAGACGTTCTTTTCCCCCTTTCACTGGACAAGGTCATCTTCGTCGACGCAGACCAAGTCGTCCGCACAGACATGCACGACCTCGTCAACTTAGACCTAGAAGGCGCTCCTTACGGCTTCACACCCATGTGCGATTCGCGCCATGAAATGGAAGGCTTCCGCTTCTGGAAACAGGGTTACTGGAAGAACTTCCTCCGTGGCCAGCCTTACCACATTTCGGCCCTTTACGTGGTTGACCTGAGCCGCTTCCGTGCTCTGGCTGCCGGCGACCGTCTCCGTGGCCAATACCAGATGCTCTCCGCTGATCCCAACAGTTTGAGTAATCTTGACCAGGACCTGCCGAATCATATGCAGCACCAAATCCCGATCAAGAGTCTGCCGCAGGAGTGGCTGTGGTGCGAGACCTGGTGTTCCGATGAGTCTTTGGGCCAGGCGAGAACGATTGATTTATGCAATAACCCCCAGACGAAGGAGCCTAAGCTCGATAGGGCTAGACGGCAAGTCCCCGAGTGGACTGAGTATGATGAGGAGATTGCTGCGTTGGTGGAGAAGGTCTCTTTGGAGCAGCAACAGAGTGAAGAGGTGCAGCCGGACGATGAGGAAGATGAGGAAGATGAGGAATGGACGAAGGATGAGTTGTAGAGCTACATTATATTATGTGTTATAGTTCGTATTTCAATAGATTTGCGCGGAATTACATGGTACATCGATTTGGAAAGCTCGAGATCTAAATGAGTACTCAATCAGAGGTTGAATGCCAAACCTGTTCGTGCGTAGGTAGAATCTAGTAGATAAATGACCTACCCTAGGTCGACGATAGATACTATCTGAGCTAAGGTACAGTATCAGGGCTTCGATGGAAAGCCTCGGAGAGCTTGCTCAACTCAACTGGACATCCACAGGTATATTCTCAAGTCTGAAGCCATTCTTTGTTCTGAACTATACATGTGGATGATGGGGTATATGATAAAAATAAACACAACTTTTTAAGAATAAATAGCAGGGACATCGTCCAACAACACAATTACAATTCATCCCTCCAACGCTTAGACAAAATTGTGCACACATTTGTTTGTTCATCATTCGTCAGACAATCTCTTCTGCACACCTCATCCTGTAACTTTTCATGCTTCCCCCCTCTTAAACACCGACAACAGCTAGTTGTCAGCACCCTCCATCTTAACATCTCGGGAAACCGACGAACGAGTCGAAGTAGAAGTTGAGGAGAGCTCTGCAAGACGGCGTCGTTTCAGGGCGCCCGCTTCCTTGGTGCTCTGTTGCTCGGACTTGCTAGACTTGGACGCAGGGGTTGACTCTGATTCTGATTCGGACGAGTCGCTTTCGCTCTCACCAGACTCCGATGTAGACTCCTCTGATGAGGAGTTCTTGGCTTGTTGCTTGATGTTGTCTAAAGCCTTCTTCGGCGGCTTTCCTTTCTCGTTGCCACTTGAGCTGGTCACGTCGCTTTCGCTCTCAGACTCCGCACCACTTTCACTACTTCCATCATCGGATGAATCGCTCGAGTCGTCTTTAGAAGAGCTCTCCTCGTTCTTGTCCTTGGTCTTCGGGGCTTCTGATGATATCTTTGGCTTGCTGTTCATCGAAGTCTGTGGGTGTGCGGGTACATCAGAGCCGGTGCTCGAGTCGCTATCTTCAGAATCTGATGTGGAGGATGTTGACGTTGACTGTTTCCTCTTTTGTGGGGTAGTCTTTGTGTTTTTCTTGCTCTCTGCAGCTTGTGGCTGGTCTTTGACCTCCACGCGTTCGTTTGGCTTTGCCTTGGATTTTACATCTTTAGTAGTATCACTAGAGTTTGACTCATTTGTTGACTCTGATTCTGATTCGGAGTCAGAAGATGAGGATTTGTCGGTAGAGCTGGAATCCTTTTTAGACGTTTTGTTTGATTTCTCCTTCTTTTCACGCTGCTCCACGGCTTCATCTTCATCTGAATTGTCTGAATAAATGTATTCGGCGCTTTTAGGGGGAGGCTGCGGAGTTGGACTGGGTGGCCGCGATCTCTGTCTACTGTTCTTCGACTCTTTGACGGGGTCAAAAACAGCATCTGGGTTCCCTCTGTCGCGCAGTTGCTGAACCTTTCTCCTGGCCTTGCGCCATTTATCTGCGCATTGCTGTCTGGAACGACAATTTCCGATTTTATTGCTGATATGTCCCCAGGATATGAGCGTCTCGTCCATATCATAGATATCTCGGCCCACTTCATGGCCCTTTTCCTTCATGTTTTTCCATACAACCTGCAAGGCGTTCTGCAGCGAGCGAATTTCCTCCTCCGACCATGGACCTCGGTTCATCGTAGTTCTATGCTCCAAGCGGTTCTTCCATCTCTGGACAACATCGTCGTCACTCCGGCCTAACTCTTTAGCTATCTGGGCGAATTTGAAGCCATACCGTGCAACAAGCTGAACGAGTTCCTCATCTTGTTCGTGAGTCCATTGATGAGGTTTCACGTCAGAGTTTTGGAAGTGACGCCTCATGAAGCGGTACACTGATCTCCTATCCCGGTCAGGAAGAATCTTGTAAATTGTCTTCCAGAATTCAGGTTTCATGGTGATAGACGCATCACAAGGGAAATCAATGCCCTTTTCTCGTTCGGAATGTTGGACCATTGCGTCAAACGCATGCGCCGGAAGACCATGGGAGTTGCAGAACTCCAACTTGAAGCTCTCCAGAGCTTGAACTTCGTCTTGCGTGAAAAATCCTGTGAGCCCTTTTCCGCTTTGTTGTCTCTTTCCTTTCTTAACAGTCACCTGCGGTATAATGGCGTCATTCGAAGACTTGGTCGAAGGGGTACCATTGACTTGAGCTTCAGCTGGCGAATTATCAATCACGGCGGCAGATGCTTTTTCTGCCTGGCGGCCATCCTCAGTACTATCCGTGGGCGAGTCAGTGAGCTTCTTGCGCTTCGAAGGCCTAGGTTCCTCTTCGGCTGGGGGCGATGGCGGCGCGACGGCCGAGTTGTCATGTTTGCTGGATTTTCGTTTCCGTTTCGGCGTAGCTGCATCATCGGACTGCCCCTTGGGTGTTTCATTTTTCTTAGCTTTCAAGCTTTTCGGGCGACTTGGCGTGACGTCTGACCCAACTTTTTCTATGGTTGAAGCCCCAATGTCAGGTATCATTCAAGGGTCGGAGCTTCTCGCGCCGGCATTCTATGATAAACTTACGCGTGAGGTCGCGGATGCCATTTTCGGCCTTTTTGGAGGACCTATTACCCATGGGGTGGGAGGAAGGGGGGAAAGATGAATCGCCTGAATCTAGTAAAGAAGGTTGTAAGTGGAGGTAGTAGGGATGGAGTTGAAATTGTCAGGAACAATGTTTAACAAGTCAAGAGTCAATTACAAAAAAAAAAAAAAAAAAAAAAAAAGGTTCCGGCCGAGGGACACTAAAGCTGAGCAGCACGGGGCGGACTATTGCAGTCTTTTCCGCGCCAAAGCATTAGAAATTAAGCGGTCAAGCTTTCCCTCTGTAATTTTTCCTGCTTAATATAAACACGTTCTATTGGGTATGCTTTTGCATTGCGCTCAGCGTCGTAAACTACTAGTAGGTACATGAGGAATAACATTATCAACAGCGGATGTGTATAAGATATAACATAGAAACACTCAATATCTTGCACATCACGATTCTATCTTCATTTCTCGTAATATCCTGGTCACCAACTTCCTCTGATCTGTCGAGCTCAATTCGTGCTCGTCGATGGTACTCAGGCATCGCCCAATTGCGACCGTCGCCTTGACAGCATAATCGCCTCCATTGGCACAATCCACCCAAACCTTTCCATTTCTCCCCACAGCGATCTCAAATCCACCCGCCTTCTCCAGCTTCTTGCCCAGTTCATCCAGAACCACCAACCCTGCCACACCATCCTGTTGCTCCGCCGACGAAGAGCTCGCCTTTATCAACCGAGCCGCCAACCCAGTCGACACATCAAAAACCATACCCCCGGTCAACGGACCCAATCCCCCATCAGCCCGTCCTGTCGCCGGGTTGACACATGTAAGTTCCACCTCCGCGCCAGCGCCCAAACCAGTCGACAACACACGAGCATAGACCAGATCGCCTTGTTTCAGCATCGGCCGCGTCTTCTTCGTCGCACCCTCAAATGAAAGCTGTCCTAGCAGTGTCTGGGGCGCTTGCGGCGTAACCATACAATGGAAGTAATCCGGACTGGAGTGGTGGATCTGCGCGATCACAAGATCGCCTGGTGTCGGGAGGTAGCGACGGTTTGGGGTAGAGAGGATCGAGACGGCATTTCTTTTGTTATCTGTTGAGAGAAGCCCGGGTTGCGTGGCGGATATGACATGGCTGGGAGGATTCGAGGACGGTTGCGAGAGGAGACGAAGACCTGCTCCAAGTCTCAAGGGACCCGAATTGCTGGATGGCAGATATTCGGAGGGAACTTCGTCGCCCGGGAGTAGAATTAGTGGCGACGCCATTGTGAGGGTAAGTCCACCGAACGGGTTGTGGTGGTGGTTTGTCTTTGCGTCTGAAGAGATCTGATGGTGGAGACTTGAAGGATCGCCCTTGGCTGTGAAAAGCGCAAATCGTTGCTTATCGGCTTATCTCCACGTGAGAGATTGTTTCTGCAGCATTATGTCAGTGGACTTGGGGTGATGGTCGTACTAGTGGTTATGTACAAGGAATTCAAGGATATAATTTTAAACCCTCTATTCCCAATGCTTGTGAGTTACAATGTTCTCAATGCACGGAAGGGTCAGTCCATGTGACGTGTACAATAATTGTACATACATACATACCTACGATTCTGGCTGCCCAGTCTAGATCGCACCGCCACCGCGCTATCGATAAGCACTAGCCACAGCTGCCCGCTTCTTGTCAAACAGACCAAAAATTTTTTTTCATCGTCTGGCAGAAAACGAAGGAAGAGAATCAGCCATTCCGAGGCGGAGCCCGAATTGTGTCCCATTTTCTATCTCCATTCCCTCTCTACTTTCAATCCTTCCCTTTTCCCTCTTCCTCCCTTTATAACACCCTACACATAATTCACAATGAGTGACGAAACAAACGGTACCCCGGAGCGTTTCGCTATCGGTATCTCTTTTGGCAACACCTCCAGTTCTATTGCCCGCATCAACCCTGTATGTGAGCCCGATTCATGACTTCGGTTTTACTCTCAAGGCTATGGATTTTTGTTAAGGGGAAATTGTACTAATGGTAATCAATATATAGGAGGGCAAGCCGGAGGTTATCGCCAACGAGGAAGGAGGTTAGTCTAATATTTCTCACCCTATTGCTGCTCGGTGGCGGGTAACCTTGGAGCACAAACTTACGGATGCACAGATCGTCAAATTCCTTCCGTCCTTTCATACATTGATGGTGAAGAGTACCACGGTACTCAAGCCAAGGCCCAGCTGGTCCGCAACTCCCAGAACACTGTCGCATACTTCAGAGATTACCTTGGCAAGGAGTATGTCTTTATGATATAAAATGCTACTTCCATGTGAGACAACGCTGACATGAATACCCCACAGCTTCAAGTCGATAGACGCCACACCATGCCATAACTCGGCGCATCCTCAGCCTCACGAGTCTACCGTTGCTTTCTCCATTGTGGACTCTACCAACGAGACCCCCAGCACTGTCACCGTCTCCGAGATTGCCACCCGCCATCTCCGTCGTTTGAAGCAGTCCGCCTCTGACTACCTGGGCAAGGAAGTCAATGCCGCCGTTATCACTGTCCCTACTGACTTCTCCGACGCTCAGCGTGAGGCTTTGACCGCCTCCGCTAAGGCTGCTGGCCTTGAGGTCCTGCAGCTCATCCATGAGCCTGTTGCCGCTGCCCTGGCCTATGATGCCAGGCCCGAGGCTACTGTTACTGATAAGCTTGTTGTCGTCGCCGACCTTGGTGGTACCCGATCCGACGCTGCTGTTCTCGCTTGCCGTGGTGGCATGTACTCTATCCTCGCAACCGCTCATGACTACGAGCTGGGTGGAGCTTCATTGGACAAGATCATCATCGACCACTTCGCCAAGGAGTTCATCAAGAAGCACAAGACTGATCCTCGCGAGAACGCTCGTGGTCTCGCCAAGTTGAAGCTAGAGGGTGAGGGTGCTCGCAAGACCTTGAGCTTGGGTACCAACGCCAGCTTGAGCATTGAGAGTCTCGCAGATGGCATTGACTTCGGCTCTACCGTCAACCGTACTCGCTACGAGCTTCTCTCCGGCAAGACCTTCGCCCAGTTCACCGGCTTGATCGAGCAGGTTATCCAGAAGGCTGGGTTGGATGTCTTGGACATTGATGAGGTTAGTCCCTCGTGTTATTTCGCAGGATCAATAGCAGTACAAGAAGTTATGTTCTAACTAAGGTTTAGGTTATCTTCGCTGGTGGTGCTTCGCACACCCCCAAGATCGCCCAGCTTGCCCGCAACATTTTCTCCGAGAAGACTAAGATCCTTGCCCCTTCGACCTTCACTGGCGCCATCAACCCCGCTGAGCTGGCCCCCAGGGGTGCCGCCATCCAGGCCTCTCTTATCCAGGAGTTTGAGCAGGAGGACATTGAGCAGTCTATCCACCCCATGGTCACTGCCACTCCTCACCTGAAGAACGCTATCGGTGTCGAGTTCACCTCCGGTGAGACCGTCGAGTTCCAGCCTCTCCTGAACACTGAAACTGCCCTCCCCGCTCGCCGTGTCGCTCAGTACAATGCTCCCAAGGACGGTGGCGACGTCTTCATTCGCGTCTGCGAGGGTGTCCGCGAGATCAAGGTTACCAAGCCTGAGCCTAAGCCCAAGGAGGAGAAGCCCAAGACTGAGGACGATGAAGACGACTCCGACTTCGACTCCGATGAGGATGAGGAGGAAGAGATCCGTGAGATCGTCTGGAAGACCGAGAAGCCCATTGCCGAGCTTGCCGTCAAGGGCGTCAAGGCCGGCAGCAAGGTCGAGCTGATGGTCCACGTCAACGCCGACCTGGGTCTGCAGATCACCGCTCGCGAAGTCGGCGGCCAGAACGCCGTCCGCGGTGCTGTGCAGGCTGCTTAAATCTTTCGTCGGTAATATATAACGTATTTTCCTCTTATCTCCAGACGCACCTCACGGTTAATGCTTTGCTCCTTCTTCCCAATGGATTTATTAGAACATCAAAATTTATTAGACATCATGCACTTCCTTTCTATCTCCACTGCGTCATATCCCCATCTCGATGTGATCGGTCCATGAGAAGAGATTCTGGATAGGAGAGACCTTTTGTCTTAGGCGCGTCCTGTCTTGCAATGACTGTTCGATGACGAATGTATCAATGATGGTTTCTTCAAAAGTATATAGAGAGGCCTAGACTCTTAGAAATATGATTCCTACTGATAAAACAATACACTTCCATGACTATGAATTATCTGAAGAAGATAGGATCCGGGCCTTGAACCCGGCTGCTTTTTCCGCAGTCTCCAGTGTTCCGAAAGGATCAGACCGGCCACAGGGAACTATAGTGTCAACCGAGTCTATTTTATCGTAGAGGATAACGTACCTTGCAGGAGCTTCTCCAGGGACAGTTACCACAGCCCGAGTTCTGTTTTCTCTCTTGAGTGATGTTCACAACCTCCAACCCAAAGGGACCAAGCGAGCCAATAGATCTTTGGTTAGTCCAATCTCAATATGCTCCCTTGCAAAGCCATGCTGCGCATTACTGACCAAATTACTGTCCTCTTCTTCTCTCCAAAGCCTGCTTCATCTATTACGCTAAACTGAACCTGCACAGGCCCGGTAGATGACCCCAAGTGACAGCTCTAATCCAGCCTTTTCAACGCTGGCTGTGGACTAGGCGCTGCTGGTAAATCTTCAAAGGCAAGATGATTTGAGATGATCTAGTTGACATGACACACAGCTCTCTTATGCTACCCATCCAACCTCTCGCGTTTGACCGTGATTTTCCAAATTCCCATAAAATCATCACCACGATATATATTATACTTATCTTCCGAACAAACCCTTCTACTCTCTACCCTCCTCACGATCAGGAACTGAGAGATAAGTATACTCCCACTATACTAGAACGCATCCAGAAACTCCCAATTCATAATGTGAGGAAGAGAACCATTCTCAGCTAAAATGTTGATATTAGTTAGGTCACTATGTGTAAAGATATACAAGACATATCAGGTAGTATACGACTTTTGAAGTTGTATACATATAGCCTCGGGTAGAGTTTCTTTCAGCCCTTCCTCCATCTCTGCCCATAGTTCGTTCTCAGATACCAGAGGACTATGGGGAAGCGAAGCGTCATTTGGAAACAGGAAGTTAGGGTAAATAGAACAACTACCGAGGGCTTGTATATAATCAAAATAGAGATCGCGAAGGTATAGTAGATAGTAGATAGTTAATAGTCTATTATATTATATTCTCTTTTCCAGGCAGTAGAGAGCGTCGACCGAGCTCTACTTAGAGATTCGCCAGAAATGTACTTTATTAAGATAATGATATCTGTCTTCCAATGTTCTACACAAGCTGGATATCTGGTACTTCGCATATCAGAAGACTTTTGTGCCCTATAGTGGGTCTCTGCAAATCATGCGGGGTGGGCCGCCTAGCGCATAGTTGGACTGGATGATCTGCTGCTTATTTACGGCGTCCCTCTATTCAATACGGCCCGCTCAATGATGGATTTGCGCTAAGACCTTAGTAGATTAAATTTGTACTGTGCAGAAAGGCTTCCCATCTCAAACAGCCGCCAGTTTGCCTGCACAGAGTTGGGCCGCATCGCTATCTTGACAACCCTCGTCCCTACTCTTCTTCCTAGTTGGCTTCCTGATGCAGGGCCTTTTCTAGTGAGATTGATTTTTAAATTGACTAGCTGTCGGGATAGAACATTACAATTAATACCTTGTACGTATAGTAACAACAAAAGACCAGCAGATATCATAAAACACCGCGTACACCATCCAATTCCCCACAAAGGAAAAAGATAAAAGACTATGGGACTCCGAAAATTAAGCCACCATATCATAGCAACCAAGCGAAAGAAAAGCACGATATGTTTTGCGGCAAACAGGGTTTGGCTCTGGAATTATCCATCGCCCTCCCCCCCCCCCCCCAACTTATAATGAACGAAGCCAGAGATTGCATCGAAATGCAACCCGTATTAATTATCCCTCACCTACCACCCACAATTCCAGATATATGACTCACATGGGTCTATCCCTCGTACATAAACGGAGAAAATGGGGGCTATATGGCTAGCTGGCTCATGGGTTGGCCTCCTTGTTGCTCTGGACGCTGGTGGACCGTTGGGAAGTGAAGAAACCGCGACGACGGTGCTCGCGACCGCTGTATCCGGACTCTTTGCCGCCGATGGACCCGCCGAGGCAGTACAGAATGCAGGCAATGAGGAGACAGGCTACAGACGTCCACATGAAACCGAATGACTTGGCGCCCAGGCTGGCCCTTTGGCCGTTGCCGTTGAACTTGTTACGACCCTGTACAAAGACGGCGCTACCATAGGTATTAGTAAGGGTGTTTTTGAATTGTACTCTATAGAGTTAATGGCCGAACTCACGTCATCAGGCAAGTAGTGATGATTTGGAAAATCAAGGCGATCCATGCCATCAGGGAAGAGATGTAGCTGCCGATACGGGTGCACATGGCCAGGAATCCGGTGAAGAGAGATACGACGCCGAAGAAAAGCGCGATGATGAGGAATGGGAATGTGAACCTGGAGGTCAGGAAGTAGTGGTTTGTACTGGGGAGGGTTAGTTAGGAATTCAATTCGTCTCGATCCGGTCTGACCGAGTGTCTTGCTTACCCGATGAAGGCTGCAGGGATGTTGGTTGTTGTGTCGAAGTTACGGTGGCTCGGAGGGTCGAAGGGGAAGTCGGGATAGGAGCTTCCGCAATCACTCTTTCCATTGGAACCGACAGCGCAAATGTTCCAGAATGTCCACCGGGATAGAGCTGGTGCGCCCGGGATGTTGCTTGTGTCGACTTGAAGGAAGTAGATTTCGTTCAAGGGAATCGAGTTCCGTGCTCCTCCCAGCAGGGTCAGGAACATTAGTAGCAGCGCTCCGGCCGTGAAGAATAGGCCTAGGAAGCCCAGCAGTACTCCTATACGGGTTCATGTCAGTGGTTTCGCGACTGGGTCAACCGGCGTGGGAGAAACACACTGCTGAATGCCATTACTGAAGCAGTCGGCCTTCTATCCGGCTAAGGATTTTATATTTTATGTATAACCACACAATGGTCGATCGAGATGGTCAATCCCAAATGCTCAACTGGCCAGTTTGGGTATACAATGGGACGAGTTGTGGGCGGAAAGGAAGTAAGAGGAGTCGAAGACGATGAGAGTGGAAGGACACAGCTAGTGATTTAGGTATTAAAGCGAAACCCCGGCAGTCCCGGCGATCCATGTTCACGGGGAAGGGTAGTGATATAATAATGAGAGTGCATCATAGTCGGTTGGCTGGCGAAAGTTGCACTCATGCGACTTGGTCTCAACGTCATCGTTGCAGCGTGCCCCGCTAACTCTCCTCGGCTAGCCCCAGTTTTCCCTCCGCGCCAACCCCATTCGGGCAACCTAAACTTAACGTCCATGACGTTGTCGAACTACATTTTCTGACTTGACGTTGCACCTGAACTGCGAATCTCTCCTGCGTTTCCCCATCAGGCTGCAAGATTTTTCAAGGTGATCGCTGGTTGACGTGGGTCCCCAAAAGTCAATGCTGCAATTTCTTCTCCCGTCCGCCTATCGAACCAGTCAAGTGGCTACGCCTACTTAGGGCGTGGTAGAATATTGGTCACTGTCCCTATACGGTGCCTCGTTGGCCACTAGGCACATCACAGTACCCAAGTTTTGAGCCCGATTGCATCCCGTGAACCCAATCAACATGAATAGCTACTTGAGTATATTCGCCACTAGCTGCAGTACACGCATACAGCCTTCCATGAATACTCCGGTACTGTCTAGCTAACCATAAAAAGAGAGCAGCATGTACGCGCAGGTCTGAAAGTTCCTGCAGAAGCTTCAAGGTATTTCCAGATATTAATGGTTTGTTTGTATGATATCATATAGTGACGACCAACGTCGGGCCTTCATGTTTTTGACTTAAAACAGAGACCTAGAGGATTCCTCCGAGATCGATCCCTGTAATTTACTGTCTCTAGCGCTTAAAATTAACTTCAATCCAGACCTTTTGTGGCTGAACACTTACAGTCCACTGTTAGGTAAACTTGGCAATGCCCAACATGTTCGTCCATGAATGCCCCCAGAATGGCTTTTCTTCTCTTATCAACTGAAAAGAAAAACAAAATCCTAAGCAATGGTAAATAAAAATTCCCATCCTCATTCTCCATCCCACAGCAGCGTGGCCCCTGCTTAATATGATCATTTAATATCTACCGATCTACTTATGGAGGATCTACTAGTCTTGATTGCAGTCCATTGTCAAAAGGAAGTCCCTAATATAACCCGCAGCATCCGAAGCGAGCTATACCACTTCGGCAACTGTGTGCTCCTCGGCAAAACGTCTGAATATACCCTACACTTGTTCGCTACTCACGTCGCACAAATATCTCTACATCCAAGGGCGTGGGAAGCAGTGCTTTCCGTCCGTTCATGCGTACTCAAGCCACAGTTATCAACGTGGCTAGGAGTTGTTGCAGTCTGAAGCCTCATTGCTTTACGAGCGAGCATGCCAAATCACAAGGCAAGTACAATAATTAAACCCAATGCCATCCGGCAAAATAGTATGCAGGCCTTGTAGTTCACTAGATAAGTGACATAATTATGCCTCTCTATTGCCTACTATCCTTATATCCTTTTGCAATTTGCTAGTATGAATATGAACGATATATCTCACTAAGTGGGATTCCATCCAGCTATCTACTACTAGAACATGAATCGCCTTCCATTATACTGTTTTTGTGTAGGTGATTGCCTCGCTGACCAAGCGGATAACTTCTCTCCAATAGAGGGTATGCCCGCGAAAGTATTGAGGATGTTATCTCTTACCCCTCACGATCTTAAAACCTATAGTATAATCATCGAAATTCCAGAGGCGTTTCGAACAATGGCTATCGCTGTGTAGATCGACATTAGACGCGAACCAGTTCAGCTCCAAGTTGTTGAGACCAGCAGTAGTCATTAGTGCGAATAGGGAAAGAGAAGGAAAAGTTTAGACTTAACCTTCCTTGTTTTAATCCATTCTATCTTGGTTTTGTTCAAATACACTATTTTTCAGAGTATAGCCCGGGGGGGAAAGTCTATTTAAGAAGCAATTTGGACGGCTTTCCATGTTGGACCCTGGAGCTTCTGATAGTTGGGGCCCAAAACCGACCGATAACCGACTATAACATTATGTTCTTAGCTATTGTGGTTATTGTCCTTTACATACTTAGGGCAGCATGCTATCGCCTTTACTTCCACCCTCTTCACTCCTTTCCCGGTCCGAAGCTTGCAGCCATCACAAGTCTATACGAGTTTTACTATGCAGTGGTTAAAGATGGCCAATTCATTTGGGAGCTTGGCAGGTTACATGACAAATACGGTATCAACGATTGGCTTCATGCTGGACCTGTGAGGATTTGAAGGGCTTCTGGGAGAAACTGACAAATTAAAAGGGCCGATTGTACGTATAACGCCGGACGAGCTACGTATAAGAGACTCGTCCTTTTACAATGAGATATATGCTGGTGGTACACGTGTGAGAGAAAAGTCTTCGTCATTTGTTCGCTTATTCGGTGCCCCGGATTCAACTGTTGCGACGGTTGATCACAATCATCATTAGCTACCCCGTAAGGTATTGAGCAAATACTTCTCTAAACGCTCGGTTTTAAACATGCAGCCACTTATTCAGGGCAAGATCGACGCCTTGATTCAGCATTTTAGAAAGGCCCACAGGGAACAACGTGTCATAAATCTCTCTATAGCCTTCTCGGCATTAACTGCGGACATAATCTCAACTTATGCATACAGTATAGATGATTGTTTCTTGAAGAATATCGAGCAAAATGAGATAAAAACGGCAACCTAGGCGTTTGGATCGTTCAGTCACTTTTTCAGATTCATCCCTTTCGACATGTCTAGGATGAGGTGCATTTCTTCAAACGTGATGGAGAAGATCTTTCTACCGGCAGCCAGGGTGATCAAAGTACAGGAGTCATTAGGACAACAGGCAAATGTGGCAATGTCTGCTAAGCAGCCTATGTCATGACCAAATACAGTCTTCACCTCTTTGATTGACCAAAGCCTGCCCCCGGAGGAGTGAACATTGGATCGGCTGCAGGATGAGGGGTATATCCTTCTTACGGCAGGAACTGAAACATCAAGCTGGGCATTAAGTGTGACTATTTTTTATTTATTAACAAGCAATTTCTCCTCCGGCTTCATGAAGAGCTCAAGCTTGCGATGCCGAAACCAAATCATGTTCCTGATCTATCCGAGCTCGAGACTTTGCCACTACTGGTATACTATTTCGGCTCCCCTTTCTTCTTTTTTCTCGTATTGCTGTTACAGATGCTTTGTTTACTGATTCCATGAAGCGGGCAGTAATAAAAGAAGGCCTTCAGCTTTCCTTTGGTGTGCTCACGCGCCTACCACGAGTCGCCCCTTTCGAAGCATTGAACTATAAAGGACACCTTATACCTCCAGGTGTAAGTGCGGTGTGATGTCCGTATGGCGGCCATACCTAACACAACTCCAGACACCAGTGAGTCAATCAATATATTTTGTCAATATGGATCCTCGGCATTTTCCGGAACCACACACATTCAACCCAGACAGATGGCTGGGTACGGCAGAAGAAAGAAAAGCCCTAGAATCAATGCTTGTGTCATTTTCTAGAGGAAGCCGCCAATGTCTAGGCATAAAGTACATGCGCTCCCCCTCTTTTCTTTTCCTCTTTCCTGGCTTAAATTTACCCATAATCAAGGAGATATTAACTATGTTATACATTAGCCTTACCTAAGCAGAACTATTCCTTACCCTCGCTACCTTGGTGCGTCGATTTGATCTAAAACTGGTTGACACTACACTCGATGACGTCGAGCCATACAGGGACCATTTCATCATTTCCCCAAAAAATAGGAATGGGATATAAAAGTTATAGTAACGCAGGAGTATGCATGAAAATCGTCATCGAAGCTTAAACAGACTACCTTTGGATACCAATCTGTCAATTTTTGTTTCTTTGTCTTTCGCGAATTCATCAATTCTCTACACTGATTTACTCGGGTCAAACTCGTATGATAACCTAACAGTGGTACAGCAGCCCCCAATATGCTCAGGTCAGACACCGTCTTCGTCCTATGTTTCCAGTTGCCCAGTATTATTTCCCAATATGGTCAACCCTCAGCCAGCAATTCGGATAAACGAAAGTTCCTTGCTGAAATCGCAGTTCTATGATAAAGGCAAAAGTTGAAATTATTATATCGAAAGTTTTTATATAACAGTGGAACTCGCAGAACTCTGACGGAATATTCAGAGGATGAAAAGTTGTACTTACAGAATTACTAAATAGACAAATTACAAACTAATTATTATGCTTACGATGACAAACCCGGATCAGTAATCTATCAGCTCCTAAATCGAATCAACGGTGATGAGATCTGGAAAATCTCAGAATTCACGATCTTGGAAGTTGTATGGAGAGTATGTATGAGTGAAGCAGAAGCCATGCTCTTATTGCGGTAAAACCAAATAGCAATCCATAGATGCTTAGTGTCTAAACAATTGGCACTAAGATATATATAAACATTTGCCGAATGGATCCTACGAGGTAAGGGAAAGGCACCGCGAAATAGTAGTGCTGCTATATATATATTTCTCACTGTCAAAGAAATCGTTATCGATAGGCTAGTGGATACAACCACCAAGGTACGGTTTTAAGTAAGAACTCACAAGGTAAACATGTTGCCTTGGCCTTATCTACCGGTCTTTTCTATAACGTACGAAAGATTTGCTATAGCTTCAGACAGAAATATTTAGTAGACATGGGTGCCTATAACTATAAATTCAATGCATATTAGCATAAATTACGTAATTATACAGGTAATAGATTAGATCTGCGCTAGTACGTTTTCATCCGCCTACAAACGTCACGAGTGCTGTAGCAACAGCGCAATAGCAACCATATGACTGAACTATCTTCTCTGTCATTATTCTATTTTTCACTAAACTCTGGAATAGTACCAGAAGTTCTATACTTAGAACAGATAGCACGACTCCCAATCTAGTGGACTCAGTTCGCCAAAATGGCTACTTGGGTATACCCACCACTACCTCCGCAGCAGCTGGAACCGGAAGCTGATAGTGCATTGGTATACTTCTCCCCAGATGCATACGAGATTCCTTTGGCTTTTTACACAGATTAAAGTATCGCATGTCTAGTATACCTCTGTTGTTGACTTTTGGCACCGATACAGGCCAGGGAATTAGAATGGTTACTGCGTTCCCTGCAAGACTCGCTAGCCTCCCTAAGGGAAGGCTTGCATGAATGCGCTGCGCTTCTTGCCCCTAAAGAGCCAGGCTCAACATTGGTTATGTCTTCTGTACGATCAGAAATCGTGAAAGGATTCGTAACAAGGATTGGGACCAAAATCGTGAAAGGCGTATGTTATGCGCGCTTGCTTTCTCTTATTCTCGAACAAATCGATTGGACTGATCAAGTATTGTCATGCGCTAGGATATTCAACTACGCCTTGGCTCCCTTGCTCCTGCACGCGGCTCCCCAACAACTCGCTTATGTTTGTCGAACTCGCCCGGTGCACCAGAGCTTGTGCTACATCAGTTGGTTTCGGTGAGGGATTTGGTCAACCAGAGTCTCGATGTGGTGGACGTCAGCACTTGGACTGGCGACCCGCTCAATGCAAGTTTCATATATGGGCAGCTGCGTCTATTATATGAAACTCTGTCCGAGGCTCGGCAGATGCTGAAGGGTGAGAGTGATCAGGTCAGGGGCAAGTGGTGGGAGACAAGTGCGCTTGAGGATGTATGTTCGGCGCATCGTTCTTTAGTCCTCTTTACTCGTGACTAACTTATGACTGCGAAGATGTTTGACCCGCCGTTGCCGCCAAACCTTTCGTTCCATCTCTCGATCGCCGATTCAGCCCTCGTTTTGTATCTAAGGACGCTCGAGTCCAGCACACCCACACATACTCCAACAGCTTTTGCCACCGACATTTCTTTGACTGGGTTCAATCTGCGAGACCGTTTATTTGGAACTCGACACCGCGGACATGATGAGGTCGGAGATCTTTTCACGTGGAAGGGAGACGAGGTCAAAGTAAGGGAAAAGATCCGCGTGGAAAGTCAGGACCCGAGCCTGATGGCAGTCATGGCGAAGTTAACTGCTCTGCAACATGAAGTGATGAAATGGATTTCTGCGCTGAAAGTGCTTATGGGCAACGAAGATACCGATAGTGAGGAATAGTTTTGGCAAGCCCTAAATTGTATATACTGTTCTATATCATTCAGATACATTAACATGTCACTTAATACTTCCATATTCAACCTCCTGTTCTCGAGATAACTAATGCCCATACTTGAAATATTACATAATCTAAATGTCTCCTTCCACCTGCCAATAGGAAGAGCGGAATTTCCGATAGTCGCATTTCTTGGCAAAGATTTTCCTGACCGAGCTCTCACGAGTGGCGTTTTTCCCTTCATCCCCAGATTCAGGCCGCAGATTATTGCTTTCAGGGTGGTAAGAAGGGTTGATGATGCTGTCAAGATCTCCAGCATCAAGGGCGAGCCGGTCTTGCTCCCACGGCCTTCTGCGCACCATTGCATCGAAGTCGTCGCAGATCAGTTCGCAACAACTCCGCGGCGGAGCTACCAGTCTCATAGCGCAGCGGTACAGATGCACAAACACGCGATACGAGTTTCCTCTTAATTCTCCGGTCGGATTCCCCCGGAAAACTGCTACTGGATATCCAATCGGACTGAAGGATGGACGGCGATATGCGTCTACGGTGCCCCCTGCAGATGGCAATGTCAAGACGGATCGCAAGGACGCTGTCTACGATGTGATTGATAGGATTGAACAGAATGAGATGGAAATGGCTGAGCTTATGGATGAGCTGAGCTTATTGGACGACTATTGGGAAGCTCTCAATCTTGATGGTCCAGAGCTTGATCATGCGTTTAGCGAGACGATCGGCCATCGGAACCCGGAGACTCTAGAAGCGCGCGTGCAGGAGGCGAGGCAAATGTTTGGGGACACTCTACCCGATGGATATCTGAACGACACTGAGTTGCGGTTGTACACCCAGTTGTATGGCGAGCCAATCATTCGGGAGGAGGAGTTGGAGCTTGAAGCGGAGGGAGATGAGAAGGACCCCGATGTTTTATACCGTGAGGATGGCCAGGGAGGATGGGAGGCAGTGGATTTCGAGCAGGCTGAGTTAGAGGATGAGCCACCTGTGGTGTATGATATGGAGGCTGGCCCGGTCGAGGATGAATCTATCGCCATGCAACGGACACGGGAAGTGGCAGAGCAGCTCGGCGGAGAAATCATGCTGGAGCAGTTCGAAGAAGACGCAAACCCAGATGACACACCTCGACTACATCCTCTCACTGTGGAAGGGAAGTTCTCTACTGATCCCAGTACTGTTTTCTTGCCCAAGGACACAGTAACTGGTCCCATTTCCATCATTTTATCGGACTACGCCAATAAACATATCGCAGATGTTGCCCATCGCACCTTCGGCGGTACGCGTCTTCCTTATTCTACTACCACTCCACCACCACGCGCACAGATGCCTCAGCTTCCTATTCCACTAGAAGCTTCCCAGCGGCACATGACGGAAATGGAGGCGAATGCATACATTGCGGCTCTGTACCCCGGAATGTATACCTCCATACTGAGTACTCTGGTCGAGGTCCGAAAGCGCCTGGGCACAGAGTGGCTGCGTGGGCTCATCTCGAAAGAAGGGGGCCCGCAAATCCTTGATGCCAGTGGTGGTGGTGCAGGTGTCCTTGCCTGGCGAGATGTCATTCGCGCAGAGTGGGAGACGATGGTCCCAGACCATCCGAAGAAAAGTCCTTATCCTGTGGGTAGATCAACTGTTGTCACTGGTTCGGAGTCCTTACGAAATCGCGCAAGTTTAATGTTGGAGAATACTTCATTCCTACCACGCCTGCCTGACTACGTTCACATCCGCGAGAAACCAACCCTAGATGATGAGAGAGCTCCTCCAAAACGAAAGCAGTATGACATTATCGTCGCCCCCCATAGCTTGCTCGGCATAGATGAGGAATTCTTACGCAAAGAGCACGTGGAGAACCTGTGGAATCTCCTCAACCCTGATGGCGGTGTTCTGATTCTTCTCGAGAAGGGACACCAGAAAGGATTCGAAGCAATTGCTGGAGCTCGTGAGATGCTCCTTAAGCGTCTCATCTCAAGTCCTGGCTCTACAGAATATACCAACTTCACTGAGTCGCCAATTGAGGATTCACATATCGAGAAGGAGCCCGGAATGATCGTAGCGCCCTGCACTAACCATGAGAAATGCCCCATGTTCAGCGTCCCTGGCCATTCCAAGGGACGCAAGGATTACTGCCATTTCCAGCAGAGATATATCAGACCGCCCTTCCTCCAGCGCATCTTGGGAGCCAAGGATCGGAACCACGAAGACGTCAAGTTCAGTTATATCGCTGTACAGCGTGGCGTGGACTTACGTGAGACGAAGGGTATCGTACAAGGCCCCGAGGCTACCGAAGCGGCCTTTGCTGGCTACGAAGATCTACATGAAACAGCTGTAGAAGAGACGGAAGCATCAAACGAAGCTGCTGGCTCCCAGGCTGAGCCAAGCGAACAGGCAAAGCCCGAGAACTTCCACACCTTATCTCTTCCTCGTATTGTGTATCCTCCAATGAAACGCCGCGGACATGTCATCTTTGATTTCTGTACGCCCGCTGGAAAGATTGAGCGCTGGACAGTTCCCCGCTCCTATAGCCGTCAGGCATACAAAGATGCTCGCAAGTCAAGTTGGGGAGATCTGTGGGCTCTTGGTGCGAAGACCCGCATCCCAAGAAGCTTGAGAATCGGTGATAAGCATGGCGAAGGCAAGAAAGAACGTTTGGCCAGGCGGGCAGCTTTCAGGGCTGAATTAGCCGAGGAGGGTGAACTTGAGCAGCAGGCCGAGGGTTCTGACTGGCCCGAAGTGCTAATCCCGCAGAGAAAGAAGGGTCAAACAATTCCCAGTTGGAAAAAGCATGTGGACAAGAAGAAGGTGAGACAGGCTTCGAAGAAGCATGCCGCTGCGAAAGTAGCGCAGAATGACTTTTTGGTTTGAAAGCTTCGTTTGGCATCGTTCATCGGCTGGCAGGGAACACAAGGCATAGGGCTACGGCGCATGGATGGTTCATATCTCGGTACAGGCGCCCGGGCCTCAATTTCTGAAAATGTATTATAAATGTATCATATATGACGGATATATGTAATTAGACCATAACTGTAAAGCTTATTGAGCTCTTCACTCAATTTCAATGTGACCAATATTCCTCTCACATGTAACATCAGCAGCTCCATATGTTCCATAGGCCGTACCGGGTATAATTGTGGCCGGATTTTCACGGGAAAATGTCAATGGCCTGAAGATGCCCGCCATGAGGAACCTGCAGTTTGCTGGCGCATGACGGGATGACCGAAAGACTGACTTTTCGCATCACTACTCTTTGGCTTTATACATTAGCAGCGCACAAGGAATACTATGCACGGTGGGTACGAATGCAGCGAGTAGACGTATGCTCAAAATATAGTCTCAACGCTGCTCCGTGATGGCAGCGACCTACTTCCTTGGAGCTCGGTTTATCGAGTTCAGGTCGTTTCACCGCATATAATGGCAGGTGCTTCGTATATGGATGACGTAGTTGCAACAATTCTGCGCTGTTGCTATTATTTCCCCTCCATGGGTGCAGACTTATTGGGCGGCCATGCTCTTTCTCAACTGACGCTCGCGCTGTTTACTCTGCAGCTCCAATCTCTCCACGGCATACTTCAGCCGTTCCTTCTTCTGCACCAATCGCCTGAACTCTGCCGCCTTTGCAGCATTGGCCTTTTGTCGATCGCCATAGGCATTCTGGCTACGGCTTGAGGTTTGGCGGCTTTCGCTGGAGTACATTCTGCCTTCCTGCAGTTCAGCTTTTGCTCGGAGAGCTTGTTCGCGACGGGAGAGCTTTTCAACGTGGTTTGACGCTAATGATAGCAAGTGTCCGATGCTGGGAGTGATTTCATCAAGTAATGATTGCTGTGCTTCACGGACCGTAGGCTCGGGGAGAAGCTCAAAGTGCTGTGGTCGGATTTTATCAGTACCTTGGCTGGGGTTCGAAAGGAACGTTTCCGGCACTTACTCGGGTTGTTTGCAAGACCTTGCACAGTCGGGGAAAGTCGCTAATGCCAGACTCAAGAGTGGAGATGGATGAGTCGAGGAGTTGAAGAGATGATCCGAGAGACAAGACTGAAGCGTTCAGTGATGCCGCCATGGTGAGATATGAGGGAGCAATAATGCAGGAGCACTTTTGCCTATACGTATACAGTATGAAGTCGGAGTTGATAACTGGTGCATTTGTTTACAGGAGGGGCTAACGGAGTGATAAAAGCGGCGATGGGTCTGTGCGGCTATAGTAAAAGCGGCCGGGAGTCGGACCTCCGGGCAAAACTCGTTGTTCCCGCTCCTCCTCGTCGCACCGTATTCCGCCTACATCAACTCACCTCTCACCTCTATCCTCTTAAGACATTCCCGTGCAATACACAACTTGTCGCCATGTCTCTCCTCGGAAAGAAGTTCCCCACCCCCATCGGTAAGACACCGCGCCGGTCGGACATTTTGTTGGATTAAACCAGGCTGAAAGCTGACTGACCTACCTCGTTATAGCCAAGCCTCTGGGCCCCTTCTTCGCTGCCGGTATGCACCGCCATGCTTGAATTCCCTCTTCGAATACGTCTATGCTATCTGGCTTCGACTATGGGACACGTGTTTGGACAAGTGCACAGGGTACTAGATCTCGGATACTGACGGGACTGTGTTTCTAGGCGTTGTCATCCTCTACGGCGTTAACTCCTTCGGCAACCTCCTCATGAACAGTGAGTCGCTCCATTCTCCGAATTTATGATATGTCCTGCCATATATGAGCCGGCTTGTCTCTTCAATGCGAGCAATTCCCGCAACGTCTCGATTATAGCTAACCTCGGTTCCCTTCTGCAGCCGAGGAGTTCAAGAACGACCCTCGCAACCCCAACCTCAAGAACAGCAAGCATTAAATTAGTCTCTGTTAATCTGAGAATGTCGATATGACGGGTGAAAGAGGAATACGGAGGGTGGCTGATTACCCGGATTGCTGCTTCGCCAAAGTTTCGGTTCGCGGACAGTTATTCTGTACAGGCATATAGACTATACCGTCATAAGATTTTGACGAATTGACAAGTTGTACCACTACTGCTACGGTCGTCTTTTCCGGTACAGGTTTCACCTGTTCTCTTTGTCTTGACTGATATTACTTCGCGTAATTTGGCTGCGAAGTCAGCAGTAGCTGGCAGTTATCACACGCTGTTGTTCTTCCGTGCTATCTTACGTGAACTGTCTTTTGCTGCCAAATGCTCCTCAATTCGCTTGGCCTGGTAGCTTCTAAAAGTCGCTTGTAGTATGGCGTATGCATGCTATGATCTAGAGCTTAAGTCTAATGATGCATGATCCAGTCTCACAGTATGGATGATCTGTCCCACCTACAGGGCATTTTACCTATAGATTCACTCAATCCACCGGCTCGATCACATTAAGCTGCATCTCAGTGACCTGCTCAAGGCTGGCCATGCGGTTGCAGAAGAGTAATGTTGACAGCACGGTCTTTTCCCTTTTGCCGTGTTTATTAGAAAGCACGGTAAATTTGGTGTAGGTCGTATTAATTACTATTACCATATCAGCTCATGTAGACAATGATCACTTGCACGAGGGTCATCCAAAGGTACAGCTCCCTATCAAAAGACCGGACGGATGGGGATCGATAGCCGTCACGTATGGCAGATGAACACTAACCCAAACTAGGAAAGCGTATTTTCCCGTGACCCCAGAACTCCGATCACCACCGCCATCAAAAGATATCAAGTGCCGACATCCAGACCATCGCAGTTCACCAGCTACGGGAAAATACACCATGTCGCTCTTCAGATCCAAGCGCCTGGACCTCAGCGGGTTCATCAACGCCCGTGTCATCCGTGACCACACCAAGCGGAAGGTTTTCGAGCAGCACGAGCCTGAACGGTATGCCAAGTCGACTTTTTTGACCTTGTCGCATTTTCACCCTGACAAGGATTTTGGAGAATGATGTCTCATTAATTGATTTTGGTAATATAGTCAAGCTCTCCGCTACATCATCCGCAACACCTCCCTCCCGCAGCGTACCCGTGCCCAGGCTCAATTGCAGCTTTCCCAGATGCACGCCTACACCCGGCCCACCCAGATCAAGAACCGCTGTGTGGCGGGTGGTATTGCTCGAAGTGTGATTCGCGACTTCAGAATTGCTAGAGTAAGCGGATCTCTCTTAGCCCTTTTCATGGGGTGGCGAGCGCTGACTGATCGTGTTTAGTACCAATTCCGTCAACAGGCACTGGCTGGTGAACTACCCGGTGTGAAGAAGGCCAGTTGGTAGTGTGTCCATATACTGCGGATTGTTTTATTATGTTCATGGCTACTGGGTCAGCCGGTTTGCACGAGGGCGTTTAATTCCATACTTTTTTTTCGAGAAAGATGTACAATATATCAACTGCCGGGTTTCAATAGACGATATGTGCTGGATTTTCTCCGCTAGTTGCGACTTTTCCGTTTATATGAAGCGTTTGCTACCGTCTGCTAAGTCTTCAAAAATGGACGAATACCTGATAGCTGGTGGAATCCGTCTTTCCAGCAAGTCATAGATCATGACTTTATCATTCATAAGCACTTGGGATATACAACTGTACACAGACAAAACACTGTCAGGTAGCCTTGTTATATCAATTGGCGAATGTACTCGTCGCTCCTGGTTCATTTTTTTATGCAATAGTCCTGTGAACAAAGACTCAACTGAAAGGTGAATGAATGTTTGTCTCTAGTTGTCCTTAGGACGCTTCCATACAACAGTGCATGTACCTTGAATGAGCCCTGAATTGGCCTGACTGACTTGACTAAGACCTTATTCTGCCTGCTCTTGACACTCTTTGCTTGAGATCTTGTCAGAATTCTACTGCCATGTATATGCCTAAAGCATGAGCAGTGGACTTCATTCTGTACATCGACTACCAGAATTTCAACTGCGATGTTCATATTGCAGCTCAAAGATGGCTTTGATAGAGATATCTTATACCTAAGAGGTATAAACAAAGGTCTGACATGCATACAAAGAAGCTATATCTTTATGACATGTAGTACAAGCCTGTGACCAAGCGTTCATGGCTAACCCTGGATATCCGTTTGCATGAATTTAGTCAATTAGTGTTGATTCACTGCGTTTCATGCGTTTGCATATTCACGACGACTAATCAACTCTGGCATCTTTACTCTCAGTGCAACAGCTTCATTCTTCTTCTTTAATTGTCACATTAGTCCTGTGCTTCTTGTCTTTACAATTAAAAGAACAACAAACCCACAGGATGTTTGTCTACCGTCGTGAAGACCTCCCGCCCGAGCACGAGTTTCCTGCGGACCTTGAGAAATTAGGGTATGGACTCGACGTTTCCTCTGCAGTCACGACTAAATACTAAACGAGGAGTGATAACAAGATACTTCATCAATGAGAACGACCAGATCAGAAAGATCGCGGACCCCAAGGAGGATTTTCAGTACAAGATCAACAAAAATGCCCGCGTTAATGAAATGCAGAGAGAGGCGATGAGCGGTACGTCCTATCGAGACGAGATACTCACTTCTCCCAAGAGATCTCATGATGAGATGCCTAACACTAGTAAACACTCCAGAGTGCATCCGCAAGATCGTGGCCTCTCGCCTGCGGGAGCTCAACCTTACAACCCTGCGTCTTCCTCTCACTTCTAAAGTGAATGAAGCTCATGTTCCGATCCTGGTGTCATCTAACCTGTCGACGGCATCTCGAATCATTGTCGTCTTCGGGGAGCCAGTCCAGGACCTTGGCATCTGGGCGTATCGAAGCATAGGCGTGGATGGCATCAACGCAGGCTCCGCTGTCTCGTTTGCCAAAGCTGTCCTTCGCCCCGAACCCAACGAAGAGGGAACCGACACGGAGTCCTTCTCCAAGCGCGGCGACACTGCTCTGATGCTGGCCAACACCGGCCAATTAATTTGGCATTGCGGTGCTCGTCGCCCCATGACCCTGCCGTCCTGGCTTGCCTATCCTCGTCCCTCCGCCGTCGACCCTCCCCTGATGATGACGCACAGAAACAAGATCCCTTCCAACAGCTGCTGGGAAGATCACGTCGCCTGTGTCTTTGATGAAATTCTAGCTGACCGCGGACGCTTGGTGCGCCACGATGCGAGAATTAACATCGTCGGAATCGCCGAAGGGGGCCAGGGCGCAATCCGCTACTTATCTCTAAACTGTAAGTACTACTTACGGTATTGTATTCAGAGTGACCATCTCACGGCTAATACGTGAAACCAATTTCGACACAGGGGAGCACTGGCGCGGATACATCTCTGCTATTGTTTTCACCAACCCCCTACACTCCGTAGACCTTGAACTGGCTGTCACCGATGAGATCTCCGGCTCGTTCCTTGCCTTCATCTCCTCTCGCTGCCGTGCCTATGTTATCTCCGACGAGCTGCAGGGTTGTCTGGTCCCCGGCGCCCGTCGGCATGGCTGTAACTGCTACTCGTCTGGGGAGCGGCAGCACGTGGAGTGCATCATGCCGCGCGCCTGGAAGCATATGCTTGAGTGGCTGAACCGGGCACATGCGGATCCGACCATGTATGAGGCGCAGCTGAAGCTGAAGGAGATGGATGGTAGCGAGTCAGAGACTGTGGGCTTGAATGGAAGCAATGAGTGAGTCTGTGGAGTCTCTGGCCTTTTAAAGAGCTGGTTTGCCTTGATCGATGGTTCTGGGGTTTATGCAAGGTTACTGGCGGGTGGGTTAGGATGGATACGAGGCGAGACTTGAGCTTCAGCTTCTTTACAGCTGAAACATTAGGTAGCGATTAAGCAGGTAGCGCTCGGAAAAGTGCAGAAAGACATTTATCCCAAACGAGATATGCAAAGTCAGCTGTGTCAACATGGCACTATTGACTCACTTCAGCCCCGCTGTCACAGAAGTTCGATTTAACGTCGATAAAGAAGCGTTCCAGAAAGATACTTGATCCATTCCCTCCAAATGCGCACTACTCAGCCTGATCCAATCTGGCTAAAATAAACAGTGACCCCACCTCAGATATACAAATCATCCTCAGCACCACCACCACAACACCACCAATCCAGCCCAAACCCACCTTGCATCCCAAAGCCTCCAAAATGTCCCTCGGCGAAACAAACATCCCCATCCTCCTCTCAACAATGGACCCAATCCTCGACCCGGACACCTACGTCTTCATCACGACCACCACACCCTTCCATTCCCTCCCCCTCACCACGCTCCAACCCCAAATGGTCTTCCAAGAGTCCGAAGGCCTGACCCTAATCACCACGAAAGCCATCGCTGAAGCCCACAACTACGACCACTACACCTTCCCCTGCCGCAAGATCTCCCTCAAGGTGCATTCCAGCCTCGAAGCCGTGGGCCTGATCGCGACGATCTCGACGAAATTAGCGGCGCACGGGATCAGCACGAACGTGGTGAGTGGGTTTTTTCACGATCATGTTTTTGTTCCGGAGGGTCGAGAGGGGGATGCGATGGGGGTTCTGTTGGAGATGATGAATGGGGAATCTTGATTGTGGGCTGTAAAATACTAGTAGGATGTGTGATATTGTGTCATGACTCATGGGCTAGGGAGATAGGAAATTTGAGATCGTGTATATGATAGCGACGGAAAACAGGGCTAGGTAGGGCTGATATTGCACGTCAGAGGTTGGCGGGCGTAAACCCAGAGAGGAAGGCGACCGTGACCACTGCAGTGGTTGTGGTATCTTGCTCACTGATTTAGGGGGAAGAGGGATGTTGAATGTATCGCTGCTTCCTTGTTCATGATGCTTATTTTCATGATCCCCTTTCGACTATTATTGTGTCGCTTTCAGATAGACGGTTGATGAGATGACGCCAGAAGAAAGCTTATATAGAAGACTAAAATCATGGGTGTTTACAAGGAAACCGAAACTGGTTGGGGA